TGGTGTGGGTTGTGGTGGGGGGGGGGGGGGGGCCCCCCCCCCCGCCGAAATTTTCAGGAAGGTGCTCAGCCCCCCCCCCGGGAGCCACCCTTGCTCCTAGCAAAGCAATGCCTCTGGCCCAGCCCCAGCCCCCCCCCCCCCGAAATTGGAAAGTCTACCAACCTCATTTCAGCCCGCACTATGAAAAATCCTTGCCCCTCCACGCTCTCAAAACAAGACCGGAGAGCGGACCAAACCCCTTCAAATCACTGAAGACATATTGCAGCTATGGACGCCCCTTCACCCTAACAGAAACCCTGTGCACGCCAAAAACCAGCAGCTGCATTAAAAGGGAGATGTTTTAATATTTTTTGTACCCCCCGCCCTGCACTCCTTCCCTCCTTCTGCATTCAATCAGCTAAAATAATTAAGCCCAGAATATAGAGGTACGGGAGAAGACTCGGAACTACACATCTCGACACTTCCGCTCCCCTTCCAACGCAAAACACAACCAGAAAACCCCCCTTCCCGCAAAGTGCAAAAGCGTAGAAATGACGCCACTCTTAGCCAAAGCCGGCTTTCACGAAGGACCGGAAGTTAATATCATTCTACTTTTTCTTACCTCTTGGGCTAAGAAGCTTGGTGCACCTTTATAAACTGACCCTGAAGAAACTTAGCCTACCACCTCGGATGTTCCGTTCAGCGCGTCACTGATGGCTCAGACCGGACAGTACGCAGATAGATAATGGAAGGGAGGCGGGAGAGCAATAGTGTGACTGAAAATCTTAGCCTCTGCGAAATGTGTTTGTTTCATTTTGAAAGGAGCGGAAGTGTTGTCACCCGGACAATACAGTGGGTCGTACCATCCTTGCTCAAACTACTGGAATAAGCGAGGGCTGCAGCGAGCGATTAGGAGGTGAGAATCCACGATTAAACCGGGGGTAGAGTTGTTGCTTAGTCTAGTATCCCCGATACTCGTGTGCAAAGAGACTCTTTGGTAAGTACTGCTAATTTTAGGATCATGCTCTCTGGAATGAGTAAAGCTGCCTCGGCCAAAGCTTCCTCTTAAAAATATAGAATATGGGTAGTGCAGTATTAAAGTGATGTAAGCCCTTCTGAAATCAATGGACTTTAAAAGGTACAATTCTGTTTAGGAGTGCACCTCTGTTGCCAGTGGTCACTCTGCTGCTTGGGAACCAAGAGGGAGATGAACAATGAACATACATTGGGAGACCTTGAGACAATCACACACACTTAGCCTAACCTACCTCACAGGGTTGCTGCTTGCATTCTCACTCAGATTTTTTTATTCCTAGTTCTTTTGCTCAGTGTTAATTGGATGTTCTCTAATGTATGATTACGTTTCTCTTTCTGTGATCTGCCCTGGGTCGTATTGAGAAAGGTGGGTATAAAATGTAGGAGAGGAGAATCATGTAAGCTGCTCCAGGTCTCCATTGGGGAGAAGGGGGAGTGTATAAATGAAGTAAATAAGAGAACCATGGAGACAGGGGGCAGCTGTCAGTTTGGTGTAGTGGTTAAGTGCATGGACTCTAATCTAGGAGAACCGGGTTTGATTTCCCACTCCTCCACTTGCAGCTGCTGGATGACCTTGGGCAAGCAATAGTTCTGTCAGTGCTGTCCTTGAAAGGGCAGTTCTTTCAGAGCTCTCTCAGCCCCACTTACCTCACAGGGTGTCTGTCGTGGAGAGGGAAGGGGAAGGGAAAGGTGTTTGTAAGCTGTTCTGAGACTCCGAGTGAAGGGCGGGGTATAAATCCAATCTCTTCTCCTTCTTCCCAGCATCAGTCTTATGTTCCCTGTTGTTGTTCCACAGGCAGCCATGGTTCGCAAGAAACTTTACCGCCCCATTGCAGCCATGGCTAAGAAGATCCGGGAGTACCGGGCATTGAAAAACCGACCCCGAGACTCCCAGCGCTTTGCCCTGGACTATGAAACCATGACCCGTCCCTTCACAGGCAAGCGTCTACCTGTGTTGGCTTGGGAGGATGTGAAGAATGAAAACCGGCTATTTACCCTGCTGTGCAGGCTGCATCATTTTGGCATTGGGCGCATGGTGACGCGCAAGTCCTGGTTGTGGGCATTCGAGGAGCCGTGTTATTGGGTCATTACCAAAGTGAAAGTGGATTATACAGCTGAGGTGAGTGCTGTTTGCAGGCAGGCAGTGAGGAAGGATGGGCTGGGGCCTCAGAGGATAGCTTTACTTTTTCTTCTGTTTGCCACCATCTCTTATACCTTTGGGGACAGTACTTGGATTTCCAGAGTGGTGGCAGCCTCTTCCTGACACATTTAATTTTCAGCATCTCTAGTAGCAGATGACATTGAAGACCCCCCTGGAAGAGGTGCTACCGGTCAAGATTAGACAGTACTGACCTTGACAGACCAGTGGTTCACCATGAGAGAAAGCAACACCACAATGTTGTCATGGTTCAAGAGGGGATCTGAATCCTGCTTTCGGTCCAACTGCTACAGAACTAGCCCTCTATATTAGCCATGTAAAGAAGGTTTCTGCAAAGTACATTACTGCTTCTTTTACTTATTTATTTATGTTATTTATGGTCTGCCTTTTATAAATCCAATCTCTTCTCCTTCTTCCCAGCATCAGTCTTATGTTCCCTGTTGTTGTTCCACAGGCAGCCATGGTTCGCAAGAAACTTTACCGCCCCATTGCAGCCATGGCTAAGAAGATCCGGGAGTACCGGGCATTGAAAAACCGACCCCGAGACTCCCAGCGCTTTGCCCTGGACTATGAAACCATGACCCGTCCCTTCACAGGCAAGCGTCTACCTGTGTTGGCTTGGGAGGATGTGAAGAATGAAAACCGGCTATTTACCCTGCTGTGCAGGCTGCATCATTTTGGCATTGGGCGCATGGTGACGCGCAAGTCCTGGTTGTGGGCATTCGAGGAGCCGTGTTATTGGGTCATTACCAAAGTGAAAGTGGATTATACAGCTGAGGTGAGTGCTGTTTGCAGGCAGGCAGTGAGGAAGGATGGGCTGGGGCCTCAGAGGATAGCTTTACTTTTTCTTCTGTTTGCCACCATCTCTTATACCTTTGGGGACAGTACTTGGATTTCCAGAGTGGTGGCAGCCTCTTCCTGACACATTTAATTTTCAGCATCTCTAGTAGCAGATGACATTGAAGACCCCCCTGGAAGAGGTGCTACCGGTCAAGATTAGACAGTACTGACCTTGACAGACCAGTGGTTCACCATGAGAGAAAGCAACACCACAATGTTGTCATGGTTCAAGAGGGGATCTGAATCCTGCTTTCGGTCCAACTGCTACAGAACTAGCCCTCTATATTAGCCATGTAAAGAAGGTTTCTGCAAAGTACATTACTGCTTCTTTTACTTATTTATTTATGTTATTTATGGTCTGCCTTTTGAGACTCCATATGGATTGCCCAGTGTAAGTCAATATAATCAACAGGATGGGACATCCAATAAGCAATGTAATAGGATTAGGATCTCAGAAATCTAAGACAAACCTGAAACAAAGCATGACATAACATGACGTATTAAACATATTAAACAAAGCAAAAACACAGTAGTACAGTCTACAGTCCCTATCCCTTTATCAAAGCATCCTTCTGAACCATTTTGTTACAGTATAGTGTAAAAAAGCACTCCAGAATAATTCAGTTTTGCATAATTTGCTGGGAAACAGGTCTGGCTTCATAAGATGGGAGCCACAACAGAATATGTAAGTGTATGGGCAGTTGCTAATTTTGCCCATTTGCAGCGTGGCACCTGCAAAAGGCCATGCTCAGATGAGTGACCCTATTGTAGTGGAGCACAGGAGTACAGGCAGTCTCACAGGTATGAAGGGCTTTATATGTGATAGCCAGTACCTTGCATGGAACCAATGGAGTGACTGCAGAATGGGAGTAATATGCACGCTCCACCTTGCTCCTGATAATAGCCAAGCTGTGGTTTTCCGCACCAACTGGACTCTCCAAGTTGACTTTGAAGGGAGACCTATATAGAGTGCATTACAGTAGGCTAGTCTCAGTGTCACCGTAGTGTGAATCCAGGTGACCAGATTCACCAGGTCAAGATAGGAGGTCATCTTGTGGGCTAGACTGGGTTGGAAGACAGTGTTTTTGGAAGCGGCATTAACTTGCTTCTCTAGCAGTAATGCTGGGACCAGTATTTTCCCTGGTCTCTTCACCAAGTCAGAAGAGGTCAGCTGAAACTCATCAGAGGTGGGAAGAAGAATGTGTTCAAGCTCTCTTTCTAACCAACATTACTTCTGTTACAGAATATGGATCATGGGCAAGCCTGGGGATATCGGACATTCAGAGGTAAGAAAGCAAACATGAATGCCACACATGCATTCATGGAGAAATTTTAACCGAGCTAGAGCCAGGGGTCCATCATTTTTCAGCCTCGACCTTAAGAAGCGGAGAATATTGAGTTTTCATCTAGTATTGGCCACAGACTTTCAAGCCTGTTGTAAAGGCTAGAAATATTTCTTTAGCCTAGGAAAAAGCATTTTATGCCAAGTACCCAAGTCTCCGTGTGTCCACTGGTGGTTTCACTTTGGTGGAGTTACAGTACCTCTCTGTTGTGTGGGTGCAGGGTTCACGCGATGCAAAGACGACAGGACACAAGTCTGCAGGAAGCTGTCTGAAGTTTTTCACTCCCCAGCGTTTTATTTTATATCTTTCTTCCCCCTTCTCCCTCCCTCTTCCTCCGTAAGGGAAAATTACAAGCATTCGTTCAGAGCTTGGAATGTGTTGATTCCAAGCTCACAGCTCCTTATCTCCTTCGCAACAGCCAAGGCCAAACTGACTGCATCATCAAGCAGTACCTCATGCTCTTAGCACACAAATACTTTCGGGTTCCCAATTTCCAGGCAGGAGAATAGTGGATCCATCTGCACTGCTTTCCTACACCTCTCAGCTAGAACGGCAATGCCCAAAGTAATCAATAGCAAACCGCTTAGCCAGGTTTCTTGTGGGAAGCTGATGTTGCTTTGGCGGGAGGGCGGGATAAAAATCTAATAAATAAATAAATAAATCACTGCTCGATTTTAAAATGGCAGGAATGTGAAATGGTCTACCATACTTCAGAGTGTATCATTATGTGAAATGGTCTACCATACTTCAGAGTGGATACACTCTGTTTGTAGCTTTCTTCATTTTGCCTGTTTCTTTGCAGGCAGGACAAGCGACGAAGTGAAAGAAATCCCCAAGGTCATGTACCATGATTGGCGCATAGTTCCTAAGCATGAGGAGGAGACCTTTAAGAGATGTACACCAGTGGAAGAAGAAAGCGTACAGTATGTCCCATACCCCCCATTGCTGCGGGCCATGATCCTTGCTCAGAGACAGAAGGAAGGGAATCTGGACACAGAAGAGCCCATGATCGACTTGAAACGTTTTGCTGCCCTCCGAAAGGAGCACTCTTCCCAGAAGCAAATGGAAGGGACACCAGTCTGACAATCTCAGGATGTCTTCTGCGTTCTTTCTATTACGTTCATTTTCTAGAAAATTACACCAAGAAAAACATCTTTAATACTGTGGAAAGTACATCATGCCAAATCTCACCGTATACTAATTCTGCTCAACGTGTTGAATGCTGTTATGAATCAATGTGACTCTGTCTGGACATGCTAGTTTACCTGCTCAGACCATGTGCTTTTGACACCCATGTTCATTGTTCGAAATAAGACCTCTTGATTTTAGTGAGACTGGCTCCCTGGCCAGCTATGTCCAGCATTGCAGTGAGAACAACTTAATCTCCCAATGACTAGAGTAAAGCAGTTTTCGTAGCTGCTAAGAAATTCAAGATTAACTTTCTCCGTTTTTAATTGAGGAGGAGGGTCAGTTATAACTTTCAAATATAATAAAAGTAGCCATGCTTGATTTTGCTGGGATCCTGCTTGATAACTGTGCTATGTTTAAGACACTTTCCTTAGAGGCGTGGCCCTCAGTGTTAGCACAAACCCTATACTTCATGTGCAACTGTGTAGTGGGCCAGTTTACAAAAAGATGTCTACGGAAACATCAGGGCAAGTGTGGGACCTTATTTAAAACATTTTTATGCTGCCTTTCCACTCAATCCGAGTCCCCAAAGCGGTGCATATAAATAGGACAATATGCCACACATATCCTTATGAGGTTTCTATGCTCTGGTCTTGTCCTGCACTCCACCAGGCTAAAAAGAAACTCTTGGAAATGGGGTAGGGTGAATGCGGAGGCAGATGTTGCCTCCCAGCACTGCTAGTCCAAGTCTTGCTGCTTGTGTGTAATGGAGGTTCCCTTGTCACCATGGCTAGTAGCCATTGGTGGACCTCTCCTCCCTGAATCTGACTGACCCCCCTTTTAAAGTTCATGGCCATCCCCACTGTCAGTTAATTCCACGATTTAATAACTTGCTGAGTGAAAGAGTACTGTCTCTGTCTGTCCTGAATCGATGGTCCATTGATTTGACTGTACATTTCTGCAGGGCTTTTTGTAGAAAAAGCCCAGCAGGAACTCATTAGCATAATAGGCCACACCCAACAGCCGAAACTCATTAGGATATTAGGCCACAACCCTGACAGCACAGCTCATTAGCACATTAGGCCACACCCCCATGTTAGCCTAATATGCTAATGAGTTCCTGCTGTTGGGTATGGCCTATTATGCTGATGAGTTCCTGCTGGGCTTTCTCTACAAAAAAAGCCCTGGGGACAGCCATGAACTGCAAAACTGTTGGAGCCACGCGATAAACTGGCGATGCTGCAGCTCTTCATTTCTGCAGACGGAGCCTGCGCTTAAGGGCGTCCGCCCGCCCATTTTATATTTAAAGTCCCACTGAAACCCAAGCCTTCATCTAGGACGGGAAGCACTCTGCGCACGCACAGGAGCTGTCGCTTCACCCATCGCAAAGCTTCCGCGCTACATCCTGATCGCCGCTGTGCGTTCCTGCCCAAAAAGAGCCCCGCATTTCTGACTTCTAATATTATAGGGGGAGGGGTCTGTATCCACTTTCTCCACCCTGGGCGGGGCCGCGGGGCGGAAACATTCCCCCCAATACAAAGGATGCAAGAGTTGGCGCTTTGCCCGGGACATGAAAAGACGAGCCGAGACGGGAGGGGTTTCCAGGGCAGAAGCAGCGCGCGCGGAAAGTCCCTCCCTCTCCATAATTTATAAACTTCTATCATGTCCCCTATCATTTTCTGTACTTTTTCACTTCTACAATATGTTTTCCTGAGATACGGCAACCAGAACTGAATGCAATACACTCCCAATTAGGTTACACTACCGGGCATTACAATACTGGACGTTTTGTTTTCTCCCTCTTTCCTAATAATCCCCAGCACAGAGTCTGCCATTTTCGCTGCCACCTCACACTGAGTTGACATTTTCACAGTGCCGCACCGACAAGCTGATTCTCCAGCTCGTTTCTTGCCAGTTCAGACCCCCTCAGCATACTTGACAGCTGGGTCTTTTGTCTTCCAGTGTACATAGTCTTGCCCTTCTGTATCTACTCTCCTTGGGGCTCTTCACAATCCACTTTGTGTCATGGAAGCCTCTCATTGGCGCTTGATGGTCAGGGAAAGGCACCCTCTGCTTGGAGACAGATCCATTGGATGTGGTAGTGCATTTTTACCGCCCCCTTCCTTCAAGGGATGGCACCCACGGTTCTCTCTTCCCTCTTCCAAGTAAGCTCAGGCTGAGAGAATGGGCCAAGGACATCCAGAGAGCTCTCTTGTCAGAGTCTGATCTCCCATTGAGCACTCCTTACCAGGGAAAATTCTTTTTTCGTTTGTATCTGACAAAGCTGATACCTTGGAGATTGTTGTTGGTCTTTAAGGTGCCACTGGATTCAAATTTCACTCTGCTACTATGCACTTAGGAGCTGCGGTGGCTCAAGTGGTTAAGACGCTGAACTGCAGGCTGTGGAAGGTCGGTAGTTCAGCAGTTCGAGACCCGAGTGTGCCGCAGGACGGAGTGAGCTCCCGTCTCTAGTTCCAGCTCCTGCCAACCTAGCAGTTCTAAAGCAAGGAATTGCAAGTAGATTGCAAATAGGGTACCACTTCGGTGGGAAGGGAACAGCGTTCCGTGCACCTTGGTGTTTAGTCATGCCGGCCACATGACCACGGAAACGTCTTCGGACAGCGCTGGCTCTTCGGCTTTGAAACGGATATGAGCACCGCAACCCTAGAGTCGGATTTGACTGGCTTTCGAGCAAGGGAACCTTTACCTTTTACATTACTATGCACTCACAGGGGTGTCAAACAGTACAACACAGGATCCCCATGCCAAGGGAAAGTTTATTATTCATTTCATTGCATCTAATTGCTTTTCTCAACAATACTCAGGCGGAAAACAAAACTGGTGAAAGGGGGATGCAATAACTTTAAAAGTATAGCCTAAACAGGGCAACAACTGTGTACTACCAAGATTAGAAAACAGCAAGGTCCAAACAAGGTAATGGGGACAGCCATGAACTGCAAAACTGTTGAACCACGCAATAAACTGCCAGTGCTGCAGCTCTTTATTTCTGCAGATGGAGCCTGCGCTTCAGGGCGTCCACCCGCCCATTTTATATTTAAAGTCCCACTGAAACCCAGCCTTCCTCTCCTAGGACAGTGATGGCGAACCTTTTAGAGACCAGTGCCCAAACTGCAACCCAGAACCCGCTTATTTACCGCAAAGTGCCAACACGGCAATTTCACCTGAATATTGAGGTTTTACTTGAGAAAAAAACAACTCATACATTAACATAAGAGGATCCAAACAAAGTAAGGAAAGCAATCCCAAATGCTTTCATTGACTTAAAATTATTTGCTTTCATTGACTTAAAATTATTTGGCAGATATGGGTGCCCAGTCCAATGTTCCCTCTAAGCTATGGAGCCCTGTGAGCAAAAATTCTCCTTTGTGAGCTACTGGCATTAAAGTTGTGAGCAGGAGCTTTGGCTGCTGCATCAATTAGTTTGCCCTGGAGCCATCCCTTCCTGAGCTAGGACAGAAATGTGTGAGCCGGAGGCTAAAAAACTGTGAGCTGGCTCACACTGACTCAGCTTAGAGGGAACACTGGTGCCCACCACAGAGAGGGCTCTGAGTGCCACCCGCCACCACAGTCCCTAGGAGGTGAAGCACTCTGCGCACGCTTCACCCATCGCGGGGCCGCGGGGCGGAAACATTCCCCCCAATACAAAGGATGCAAGAGTTGGCGCTTTGCCCGGTGCATTTGGCTGCCTCAGAGGGCACAGCTGACTGAGTGCGCAATCCCAAATGTGTGCTTACCTCTTGGGTGCAGTTTTTGCTTCGCCACGCCCCCCCTTCCCCTCCATCTCACTCTGCCCCTTGCTCCGGAGAGGCACATGCGAAAGTTCGGGAGGTGAGCCCCCTTCGACAGTTAAGGAAGCACACTCATGGGTTTCATTGGGTTAGGAGGGGAGCACACTAGTGCGAGGGTGCACAGGGTTGCTGACGTCGATCTGTGTGTTCTTCCCTCGCGTAAGGTATACTTCAGCAGGGCTCCTTTTCTCCCAGCCTCCTTAGCTTATGTTTGCCTGGAAGGCCACCTCCGTTTCGCTCCTTTTCGTTCCCGCCCTCGTGGAGCCGGCGCCCGAGGGGACGGCCTAAAATTTGTCGATGACAAATGTGTGAGGGACCCCTCAGTGCACAGATCAAGTGTGTTGCAAAGTTCTAGGTGGGAGTTCTGGAATTGTAGCTAATCTCCACCCTACAGAGATCAGTTTCCCAGAGGCAGTGGCAACTTTTTTTGGGGGGGGGGCGGACTCCACGCCGTCACTGCTCCACAGAAGTCATTCCTGTTTTCCAAGCATCACCCCCAAATCTGCGGGAACTTTCCAGCTCCTGCCAACCTAGCAGTTCGAAAGCAAGAAATTGCAAGTAGATAAATAGGGACCACTTCGGTGGGAAGGGAACAGCGTTCTGTGCGCCTCGGTGTTGAGTCATGCCGGCCACATGACCACGGAAACGTCTTCAGACAGCGCTGGCTCTTCGGCTTTGAAACGGAGATGAGCACCGCAACCCTAGAGTCGGACTCGGCTGGCTTTCGAGCGAGGGAACCGTTACCTTTAGTGTGGCTCCACTCGTTCTGAGTATTGTGAGGTGACCAGAAACCCAAGACCAGACCCGCTCTGTCATTTTTGTCACTCGTTTGTCCCTATTGCTCCCCCGCCCACCCGCGATGTGTTTTGCTCTCTCTGGTAGTTCCAGGTGGAGCAAAACACATGGAAAGGGGGGGAGGGGGGACCCAAAGCGACAGGGACAAAGGAGTGACACAAACCACAGTGCGGAAGTGGCCTTAAACAGCTCCCATTTGCTCCTCAGTGGGAATCTTTCTTGTCCTAGATCCTCTTGTGTTTGCGGTCCCCTTTTTTCACCTTCTTTTAAAAAGAGACACTTTCAGACCAAGAGCTGCCTTAATAGAGGTAGTGCCAGACCTAGAATCTCTGCTGTCCATATGTGTATAATGCAGTCTGCACATGCTTAGAGACACTTCCTATGTTTACAACTGGAATTCTTAGCATCAGAAACAGGCTTTGAAGTTGGGCTACCAGATTCTGAGGACTCAGCTCTGGCTCGAGGTCACAGCTGGATGCATTCCAAAACTGGGATATGTTCCTAAGGCTCTTCTCCTCCTTTTCCAGCTTACACGGGTGTCAATGAACGCACCTTCCTTGCCATCAAACCCGACGGGGTGCAGCGGCATCTGGTGGGTGAGATCATCAAGCGCTTTGAGAGGAAGGGCTTCAAACTAGTGGCCATGAAGCTCATGCAGGTAAGAACAGCCAAACCAGCCGTCCCTCCCCCTCTGCCAAGACCCAATGGGAGGGGCATGGCCTAGGACAGTGATGGCGAACCTTTTAGAGACCGAGTGCCCAAACTGCGACCCAAAACCCACTTATTTATCGCAAAGTGCCAACAAGGCAATTTAACCTGAATACAGGTTTTACTTGAGAAAAAACAACTCAAACATTAACTTAAGATGATCCAAACAAAGTAAGGAAAGCAATCCCAAATGCTTTCATTTACTTAAAATTATTTGGCAGAGAATTTGACACTTTAATGTATTTATGTGTGTGTGCATGGTATGCACACCGACATATAAGTGCAAGTCCATAAGCACTTGTGTCCTGGTCTTTTTTTTTAAACAGCAACAGTGCATGGGGTGGGAGGGGGGAGTGACATCATCATGAGGGCCAGCCAGTCAGAACTGGGAACTCCTGTCTTCCGCCGTCCTCTGAAGTTGGCTCAGTTTCATGTTCGTTGCATCGATGACACTGTCTAACCATCTCACCCTTTGCCGTCCCCGTCTTCTTTGACCTTCAGTCTTTCCCAGCATCAGGGTCTTCTCCAGGGAGGGCTCCCTTCTCATTGGGGATAGAGGTGACCAGAAAAAAGCTCACAGGAAAAATGCCCAAATGGAAAAAATCCCACACATGTGGGCTTCTTTCCATGTGGGATTTTATGTGTATGGGCTTTTTTCCATGCGGGCTTTTTTCCTATGAGTATTTATTTATTTATTTATTTTATAGTTTCGATTTCTATACCGCCCTTGACCCCGAAGGGTCTCAGAGCGGTTTACAGAGGGTATAGATACCAATTAATCCTAATCTAGGGCCACAATTCATTTTTGGGAAGGGGCTGCCTACCGGCACCCAGCGGTGACCGTGGGCTTTTTTCCTAGAACCGGGTGTAGAGGACCAGGCCCAAGACTGCTGGATTTCACAGGGAATCAACATTTTCCCTCCATGTGTCAGGTTGGCAAAGGGATCCAGGGCAAAACGTATCCTATCAAGAGAACTACCGTTCCTCTCCTCTTGCTGCAGGTATGGCAAGGACTAGATGTGGTGAAAACCGCTCGCATGATGATCGGAGAAACCAACCCTGCCGATTCCAAGCCCGGAACTATCCGAGGAGACTTCTGCATTGACGTCGGCAAGTGAGTGTTCTATTGTGAGAGAGTCTGAAACGATGAGGGTAAAGTGAACTCTCTGTGCCAGATCATGTGGCCCTTGTTGCCAACTTTGTTGTAAGGGGAGAAGAGACCAGGAAGGGAGGAAGGCCTGTTGGCAGAGCAAGCGAGCAGCCTTTCATCGAGGCCTAAGGAAAGAATTTAAATGGGGAGAGAGCATCAGCCGAGATTTCCAGAAAGTGACCGTCTGTGGCAATTGACACAGGGATGGTCCACAGAATGATCTGAGGCCAAGCATAGATAAGCATATGGAGCAGAGGTCCATCAGTGGCTATTAGCCACAAGGTATAGATAGGGGCTCTGGGGCAAGTGATGCTCTGTCATCTTGGTGCTTGGGGGGGGTCAACAGTGGGAGGGCTTCTAATGTCCTGGCCCCACTGGTGGACCTCCTGATGGCACTGGTATTTCTGGCCACTGTGTGACACAGAGTGTTGGACTGGATGGGCCTTTGGCCTGATCCAACATTGGCGTCTCTTATGTTCTTATGTTCTAAAGGGCGAGAACCTTCCTCCGTGCCTAGCAAGTGACAAGCAGCAGACCTGGGAGGAGCCCCCGGAAGCTGCTTATATGGGTTTGCCATAGCAAAGCGACTGTGCAAACAGAGGCCGAGATCTAGTGGTGTCCCATTTTCCAGGGGGTTAGGGGATACATCCCGCTCGCGCAACTGAAACCTTTCACCCTTCCACACAGGAACGTGGTCCACGGCAGCGATTCGGTGGAGAGTGCCCAGCGCGAGATTGGCCTCTGGTTCCGCAAAGATGAAATGACCTGCTGGGAGGACAGCACAGACCACTGGATCTACGAGTAGGAAGGGGGAATCTCCGGAGCGCTGCCCCTTCCGCCGTTTGCTCAGAGTGACTGGAACAGAGGGGAAAGGGGAGAGGATGCTGGATCTGGAAGCACAGATCTCAGCCCGCTGCAACAAACACTTGATTCCCTCCCCATCATAGCATAGCTTTTTGATGCAACACTTGAGTGGGATCCCGCTGCT